CCTAAGACATATTCACTGTCAGCTGATCTGTGAGAGTCTTGGAAGGTGGAAGGCATGTAGGCTTCTACATTCTCTTACACTTTCTGTAAAGATACACAAATAATTGAATAGTTAGTTCCTAAAAAAAAAAAATGTACACAATCTTATTTCTGGAGTCACATTAGGATATCTTTCCTATAAAAGAAAAAAACTGAAACAAACCAGCTTTACAAGTCAGGAGCTTTCTTCAGGCACTCAGTTTTTGTGGGTGAAAGCCTGTGCCTCTCTCGTCACTCTACCAGCATGAGCCAGCCCTGCTGACTTAGTGGACAGGCTCTGGCCAAACACAGCTTTATCTAGAGTAGCTTTCCTTTTAAGAATACTTGGATTCAGCCTCATTTACATAGTTCAGGTGATGAATGGAAGATATACTATTCTTAGAAGAACTGGTTTTAGCCAGCAAATTGCTCAGCTGGAGTGAGAGATTCTTAGGGAGTCAGGCAAGAAAGCCCACAACCTTTTATGTATGCTGCTCATATCAATGATCTGCAGAGCTCAGGAGTGCTGGAAGCCAGCTAGGCACACAAGAGGGATGAAAGTCTGCCTAGTTTTTCACAGTGACTGCTTTGCAGGTTTAATCTTCTGAGACAAAGCAGGCTCTTGTCTGAGACCCTGGAAGATGAAGGTTACTACCTTATATTCAAACAGGTTTTGTTCTGCTTTGGGGAAATAAAGAAAAGATCTCTGAGAAAAGGAACCTAGAAAATTAGACTTTGAAGACCATTCCTTGGTAGACAAAGTAAAGCATCAGAAAGCAACAATGCATGTTGTTAAGACCAGATTTTGTGCCTGCAAACTTCTTTTCTTTGGTTACCCATATGAAAAAGGGAAGATTAAATTTAATGGCAGATTTAAGGAGAGCAGACAAAATATAGAGGAAAGAACCTGTAAACCCAACATACTAAGGCCTGGAACATTTTCCAGCTCTCATATGAGACTTAGCCTCCAGGGAAAAAAATATGCACATGTAGCCCAACAATTCATTTTGAAACAGGACTAAAAACTGTTTCCTTTAATCATGTCTACTTCAGACATGAGGAAACCTGAGAAGATCAATCTCTTATAAATGGCCCAGGAACATTCCAGAAGCTTATGCCCCATATCACCCACAGCACCTGTAACAGAGCTCTGGCTTTTTGCAATGCAATTATTTATCAAAGCAGCACCTAACACACCTGACTGATGGCATGCAAAACAGAACTTATTGCTTTTTCCAGGCAGTATCTTGCTGATGGTTACTGAGCCTTTCACTTCTTCAATCCCAAGCTAACTATGAAACCTGGAACCATCTGCAAGAATCATGAAAAGATTTAGCTTGCTTTGACAAAAATGAGTAAGACTGAAGTTTACAAACTGAAGTCAGATACAAATAAGGGGTTCTCTCGCGTTCCAGAGACATCTTGGGAGGGTTGAAAGGAGAAAAGCATCTCTGACACAGTACCTGGAGGCTTTACCATGTGCAGCACACATGCTGCATCACCACACTATTTCCTGCTATCCAGGGAGGCAAACAGTGACAATTTTGACACCTATTCTACTGATGTGGCTTTTGATCTTGTCCAACACTGCTACAGGGGGCAGGAGGCAGAGAGGCTCCTTAGATCCCTTTGCAATGCTCAGACCCCACATGGAACGTGGAGCTCTGGGTACTGCTGGGGATTCTGCAGCCCAGTGCAATGGCTCAGGAGCCCAGGCACAATGGGAGATTTCAGTCTGCTGCCCAGATACCCAGGGCCTTCTTTGACATTAATGCTCTGCATCCCTTGCAAGGCTCACAGATAAAATAACCACAGTTTAGCTCTTTATTTACTGCAAAAGATGCTAGTGACTTTCCTTAGTCAAAATAAAATAATTCAGAAGTCAGCCCAGTACAAGCACAACATGAATAAATGGTCTCAGAAAAAGATTTCTCTGATTATTCAACAGCAAGGCTTTATCCATCAGTTACCTGCTTTATGTTAAACTGTCACTCGTTTCTTATCATCCTGCCATAAAGGAGAAATTTTCTTTTAAACACCCTGCTTGTATGACTGTCATCATTACTACAAAGAGAAACAGTTATACTATTAAATTGCCCAAGAGAACTTTTCACCACATATAAAAGGCACCTGTGAGCTGATAGGCAGCAGATGGGTACACAGCTTATGGAACTGACTGGCAGCAAGGGGAACAGCTTTCAGGGGCTGTCTTCTTCACTTGCTTCTGCTTTACTCATTTTTATATGCATGGCTGAGCCTATTGTTTGCCCTGTGCATACTGTATTTCCATAATTCATGCTGAAAAAACTCTCCTCCTTTAACTTGTTTTAACTTCTAATATATTCCACATTCTACAACCTGTTGCTGCCAGCTCTCACCATACTATCACAAGGTGCCTGTACCATTTGCTCTTTTCAAGCTTCTGGCTCCTGCAGTCATCACATTTATATGTGAAGGCCATTTCCAAGACCCAGTTGAACAAGAGGGCAAATTAAGACCGCCATAATTTCTTAAGAGCATTTAAAAATAACCTTATAATTTTATGGGGCTGAGATGCATTTTTTGGCAAACTGATTCAGTGGGAATTGGAAATGGAAATTGGTGCTGCTTAGTAGCACAACGCTGTGCTACTAAGCAGCAGGAATTAATCCTGTCTTTGGGTCTCACAAACATGGCAGGTGTGCACATCTTCCTTCAAGATTTCCACCTAAGAGTTCATGACTTTAGAAGCCTCACATTGGCCTCGCTGAAGGTGAACTTCTTGCAGCCATTACTCCTGATTGTCAGCTAGTGTTCAATCCACCTATCTCAGTTCTCATGATGGAGGGTTGTGATCTGGAGCACCAGCACATTTTTTGGTCTTAGCAGAAGACAGTGAGCTGAGTATTCCTGCCTCAGCTCTGATTTTGATGCTCTGTAAGCATTAGCAAATCTCCACTCTGCAGCTGTGGATTTCTTGCTCTGCCAGTGGTTGTGGGTGTAATGCAAACCTACTGTATCTGCCATAAAAAAATCACCCAGTATGAATCTGTCAGGTGAGATGCTGTGGGCCTTACACTTCCACTGAGTTCAACAGGCTGGCTCACCTTCTTGCTTAGTGTGCTATAAATAAAGAATAACTGTGTGACATAACACAATAACACATTGTGAAGTGTATTCACAATGACTGTGGGGTGGCTTGTACTGGGTTTACAGCGTAACACTTTCTGATGCGTGGAAGGGATCCTTAACACCTTTTGTGGGGAGAGTATTCTCTGCATAAATCTATCTCCTTTTGTTTCAGAGGACTCAAGATGTTAACTCATAGGAGAACTTCATGTTTAGGTGCAAGAGGAAAGTATACTTTCAGGGCTTTGCATCTTCTGGATGCTCATATTGAGATTCAGTGAAGCCTAGAATACCAATTTTGCTCTTTTGTTTTTCTTCTCCTTCCTCCATATAGTCTCACTTTTCTAAGAGGCACTGGAGTGATAGCTGTACTTTCTTTTGTACTGAGTCTACTCCTGTACAGCAATCATTTTTAATTTCTCCCCATAAGGTCAAAACAATATATAGGGAGTGCAGAATCTAATAAGATGTTGAAATAGATATTGAGCCTCTCCTGCTTCACTGGAGTTCTACATTCTGCAAAGTCAGTTAGAGGGGATTTCAACACAGTTAGAAATGTGTATTTCTAAAATAATAAACTGTACCTTAGGAAAACTTCCAAGTCCTGACAATTCCAAAAAACTGTACTTAGTGATGCACAAAATAATAAGTGGTCTGATCTAACCCCAAAGTTAAACTGAACCATTTTAAAGGAGTTTTCCATGGCTTTTATAACTCTTTTCCCTTGACCCAATACACATCTGGTTCTAGTTGGCACCAAAAGAAAGATGTATTTAAATGTCATTACAAAGGCTAATCTTGTATTTCTGCCTTGTTGGGAGACAGGAAGTACTAGAAATCTCATAAGATTCTCCTTGGACATCTATCCCCTTTTTACATAGTCAAGTGATTTACGTAGCTCTGAGAAGAATTCAAATTTTTGTGTTAGCTGACCTGACCCTCTCAACCTCCAGAGGATCATTCATCACTAGGTAGAGTTTGATTGAAGACATTGGAAAGGCTGTTCTGTCCTGCCTCCATGGCTTCAGCCAGCCATGAAGGTCTTGATCTTTTGTATCTTTGCTCTTTTTGCTAGGAAAATCCAATAAATTAAATACTAGTTAAGAACACTTTAGACAGGGGAAAGAAGTGGTGCATTATTCAAGATGGTAGAGAAAGAAAATAAAATTGGTTCAATTCCTGTGATTCCACACTAATCTTTATATTTCATTTATGAGTCAAACTCAGGTAGATCTGAGTAAAGGTAGCAAAATTAAGATGGATACTGGGAAAGCTAAATATTTACCAGTATTTACTACAATTCATCTACAGAAAACACTTTAAGTGGGTTTTATTTTCCATATATGGCCTAGTTTCTGTTTGCAGTAGTGACACAGCCCCTTGAATGTTTGTGAAGTGCTGGACTGCAAGTGTTTAAGATTCCATGAAAACCAATTGGAATGAGTTGCTGAACTTATATTCAAAATGGTAGATGGTTTTCAAGTGACTTAAACACTTTTGAACATTCAACCCATGAGCCACTTCTGCAATGATGCTGCAAGGTGATGCATATGTACTTTCATAAGAGGAAAATCTGACACCAAAGCTTGGCCGTGGCTACAAGGAAAGGCTCACAGTGAACTGAGAAACTGAACCTCCCTGCATGCACTGTGATGTTCAGATCATGCTTCTCTTTATTTACCTTACCACATACACAGGAAGAGGCACGCCTACCAGTGAGGGAATACTGGTGTTTCACAAGTCTTATCTTCTCAGCAGGTTCTGCTGGCATCCTTGTGGCAGGACAGAACTCACAGCATGTATAGTTGCTAGTGGAAGAACATGTTAATATTTAAAGTAGGCAAAAAACAATCTGTGAAGAATACGTTAATTTACCTTTCTGATCTTCTTTTTTTCCTTCTGATGCTGATGCTTTCTCTGATAAAGTGCCATTATTTCCACTGGCTTTTACCACATTTTCTTCCTGTATGGTTTCTTCACCAATGGCTACAGTGTGTCCATTTGAAGTTCCAAAATTTACTGTTACATCACCATCTGAAATGAAAATTAAAGTCTTTGCCCAGTTTAACTTCTTACTTAGCACCTACTTACAACACACAGCATCTCTCTGCTTTCAAGCTTCTGTGGAAGAAAAGCAGGAAGACTTACTGAAATGATCAGGATCTAGGATCTGCTCTGGAAAGTAACTCTGCAAAGAAACTCTATAGGCTTTCACGTTCTTCAGGTAGACACCTCTGCAGTAGTAGGCTTGGAAGTCCATGCTGGTTTCCTTCTTCATGTCTGTTCATGAGCATTCTGTTCTCTTATCCCTGCAGCTTGGTTTACAGAGCAAAGAAACGTGTGCATGGACCACAACAAAGCTGTAACATGTTCCAGCATGTTCCAAAAATGGACTAGAGGCAGGGAGAGCTGCAGAAGTACTGTGATGCACTCTCAGCATGTAAATGAGCCAGGAATTCTGACATAAGTTCTCAAAATGTATGTGCCATTTATTTAATATAAAAATATGCTACAAAGACATCATCCAGTCTTAAGAACCAATGTGAAGTCTTCCTGTATCATACATCGTATCATAATTAAATTCTGCAAGTCAAATTCTTCCTCAGCTCTGATGATACTTTACTCACTTACCCAGACTAGCTCAGCTTCAGAGTTTTTCTGATTCTGAAAAAAACCTTATTCCCCTATTTGTCTCTTTATTGCTGAAAAGTGCTATTCTTGCTGGCTTACAGCTTTCTCTGTTCCATGCACTTTAAAGTTGCTGCTGATTTTCTTCTCTGGTAATTTCTTTCTGCAGGATTCACTTGCTGTCAATCCAAAAAGTAAGCAAATCTACATGGCATCTCTTCTGATTTCTCCCATTGATTTTTCACTAACTGTGGCAATTCCACTTCTCTTCCTTGCTGTGTGCTATCAGACCTGGATGTTTGGCACTTCCCTTGTTTCAGCACAATTATGTAGCCTCTGTCCTACCACCTTGGGTGCTCCCACTCAGGTGATTGTTTCATCACCTTCCGCACACTAACATCAACTTGATTTGTAAAAAATGAGTTCTGCTTTCCTAACTTTGTCTAATTTACTACAGCTGACACTTGCACTTACCTTAACTGCAACATTCAGTTTCTTCAGCTTCTCTCTTCCAGGGCTTCTTAAATCCACTCTCTCCTCTCCGCCTCCACAGATGACACTGCCACCTCTTCTTGCTTCTGCAAACACCTCCTGCCTCCACGTGGCACTTGCCACTTTCCACTTCATTCTTCTTCACTCCATGTGATACGCTGTCACTTCTTCACATTTCTTACCTCTCACCTTTCAAGTATCCGTGTAATTTCCTCTTTTAGCTTTCATCCTCATAGTCATTCCTTCTAACTACCTTCACACTCCTTAACTGTCTTTCCTACCTCTCTATTTTTAGCACCTTCAAACCAACCCCATATTCTTTCAAAATGTCCTTAAAAATTACGATTTTCATCAAACATGAACACAATGTGATGAAGATAACACGGACCAGATTGACATGGGAGGAAGAAGAGGAAATTGTTCATATTTATATCCTTTTCTCACTTTGCTCGATCCCTGTAAGGAACCCAAAGTCCCATTCCCTTTAAGAATGGAAGAGAGGGACAAGGATACTGATAACCAAAGTATTCATACTTTTATCACAAATTATAGTATTTATGTTCAGACTGTAATCAACCAGAGAAGTTACCACATTTCATTAAGTGGTAATAATTTCAATAATACAATTTACAACCTTCAAAGGACAAGATCACACAGGTCCCCCAGTAAAGCACGTGGCAAAACCCACAACAAATCCAAAGATGGACAAACTGAGGTATGGAGAGTTTACAAGTCTTGTTTCAAGACAATGACAGTAGCAGAGACAAATGCAGAAGCCAGCCATGCTGAATGTCATAGCCTGATAATTAGCCAAACTCTGTTATGGACACGGATGTCACACATCAACAAACAGACCCTTTACTTCTAAGTATCTATGGGTATGATACAACCCATACACACTGATACTTTACTGATTCTTCAGATCACAGAGAAAAATACCATTTTTAGGAGAAAATTATTTTTGGAAAATGTGGAGTTCTTAGACTCCATGATAAAATGACAAATGGTTTAATTTAAGCTACAGAAAATTATTTTACTCACTTGACTTTCATTTGATCTATATTTATAAAAGATGAAGATTATTAGAGAGAATACCACTAGAAACATAATTGGATGTAGCAAAGAAGTATCTACTTTGGCTTACTCATGCTTTTCAAAATGTAGAATCTTGCTAATGCCAGTTACTAAACCTTAGAGCATTTTGAAACAAGTGATTTCTTGCCCACTGTTTTATGCTGATGCCATTTGTGATTGTGTGATAGTGGTTGGATCCATATGATCCCAGCACTGGTACTTTTTGATAACTGAAATGCATTATATTGATTTTTTTCTGGGTTCCAAAGCCCCTAATTTTTCAGCCAAAATTTCTCATTTTATACTCTAGTGGCTTTAGACAGCAGACCTTGACTCAAAAATAGATTTATCACTAATTAGAAAAAATTCTGGCAAACAATAAGCAGGAGCCACAGAAGTCACATTATTTACAGGGAACATTAAAATACTTCAGAGGTCAGCTGGGGCACCTATGGCAGAAGCAGTTACAGAGCACAAATCCCTTGACTTAACTTCAGTTTTCAGGTAGCCCAAATTAGCTCTCACACTTCTCAGTTGGTCTCCTCATACCTATTTATACTATATGGAAACAGTGCAACAGTGGCTTTATTATACATGTTTAGTGCTTAGTAGCTAAATTCTAGTTAATGCATTATCACCTTGCTCAGGCATTTCCTTCAGCACTCCCCTTCTTATCAGCTCCTCTCTGCTTTGTCTTGTCGAAATCTTCCTTTCCAACACTAAAGAAAAAGCACAGTTAAGAATAGATTTATTCTCATACTCCTGATCATTGTGAAAAAGTGTAGAGAACCATTTTTATTTTATAGAATAAGAACTCTTGGTTCCTCTCGTTCTGCTGAAGAAATTGTCTGGGTTTTCTTGGACGGTCTCTGAAAATATTGCCCTGCAATTTCAGGCACAGAAAGTGGGGACTCATATAATCCAACACCTTCAGCTCAGCCTCTCCTGAGGCTTCTTTTATGGTCAGTGGAAAAAGGTATTTTCAGGGTGAAATTGAACTCCTCCTAGCATAGGCATTTAACATGTAAAAGTACCTTTTCCCCACTGACTAGACTGAGTAGCTCAGCTGCAGATACCTTCATCTGCTTTGTACAGGTTTTGAGTAGTGAGAAAAACCCTGCTCAGAGAAAGCAACTCGCAGAGTAGCCCATGTGACAGGCAAGCTATTTAAAGGAAAAAAAAAAAAAAACAACAAAAACAACCTTTAACAGAAGCCAGAAAGTTGTGTTCTAAAAGGAAATAACATATGCATCGATTGATGCTGGTTGACTTTCATGGAAAAGAAATACAGCATCCTGGTTTTAGGTCAAAAAAACCCCAAGACTGTGGCACGAAGCAGTCTAATTATTATGTTTATTTCCCATGGGAAAAATGCTGAATAGTTTTATAGGGAAAAGCATTTACAGATGTTAGAACAGAATAGCTCCACATTGCATCCCATCCTCAAACTGATGCAGTGACCTGGGAGATTATTGTGATGATCCATGGGACCATGGTGCATAATGGTCACAAAATGTCAGCATCACTTGTAAAGTCCTGACTTCCCTGTTAGGAAAAGGTAGTGTCATAGTCTCCCATCCTGATTCTGTTTACATACAGACATCAAAATCCATGTGAAGTTCAGACCTCATACCAGCTAGCCTCCTTGGGGAGAGTGTGGTAGCCTGAACTCTGATCAAGTTAGGCTGCCTTGGGTCCCACACCTAAATTACTCACAAATTCTTCCAGTTTCTGGAAGAGAAATTGTATTTCTCTGTGTTTTTTAAAGCATGTGCCTTGTCACATACACTGGCACAGGAACACACTCTAGGCTTGCAAAGTTTTTCATGTAGGGGACTGTTTTAAATACTGTTTTAAATACTGTTTTAAAAGAGATGGGTGGTCATGAAGACAGAGGACTATGTGGCCAGGCATGGATGGGGTGTCTGGGTCCTTCTAGAGAGCAGGTGCATTCACAAGCAGGGTGAAATGTCCTTTGACACAGCCCTGAAGGATGAGCACCTTACATATGCACTTTATACTTGTTGCTGGCACTCTAAATGTTATTTTATTACTATTTCTACTATTTGTTTTTATTACTATTATTTTATTACTATTATTTTATAACTATTATAAATGTTATTTAATTCCCACTCTTTTTGTCCTTTCTGCTTCATTTTTACATCTCTTTTCTTGGGGACAGTGAAATGAGATGATCTCTTACATATCTGTAGGACAACTCAATGCCACCTGAAAACAATAATGCTTTTTCCAGCAAGTTAAGAACATTGACTCAGACCTTCCCCCCTCAATGCCTCTCTCTAGTTTGCAGAATGATATTTTTTTCAGTTCTACAACACTGAATTAACCACTGTATTGAATTAATTATCATGGGAAATGCCAATTGTCATTAAAAGGCATGAACCCCTTACACTTCTAGACTAAAAAAACCTCAAAGCATTTCATAAATTACACAGGTTTCATAACAACCCTGAGACATAGCTATCCCCATTTCACATATTTGAAAATTTGTGAACAGATAAGAAGCTTAAGTCCCAGTCCTCCATCTTCTAAAATGCTAGCCATGATTGGTGGTTTTATTTAAACTGATTAAGCTCAATTAATTCAGCTTGAAAAGCTAATTTATTTTAAACACTATTTGGCCCATGGAAAGAACATTTAAAAAAATCAAGCTAGTGCTCATTACTAGTACAAAGAAAAAGGCAGAATCTTAATTTGAATCAAAGTGGCAAAAATATGTCCCCTTGTATAAGAGGAATGAGCAGCCTGCCAACTTAGGAACTTATAGTGGGTGTTATTCAGTGAGTGTGGACTCATCATAATAATCTATGGTTTATTGCACATTATGCAACATATTTGGTTTATTTTAGATTATGCAATATATTTCACATTTACACAGTAAATGTGTAATTTAAAATACAAAAGTATTTTGTACCATCCTGTCACCCAGAACCATCATTCAAACATTTCCTGACTTCTGAATGCTTGACTTTGTATCATTTTAGGAGAGCTTACTGAAAAACACAACAGTAGCCAAAAGTAATTAGCTCAGCAGACTGCTTTGAGATTCTTAAAACTCCGTGCAATTAGGCTGAGTGACCAGCTGACCAACTATCAGTACAAATCTTCTTATAACTTTAAGCAATAATAAAATGGGAAGAACAGTTTTTCCATCTGTGTACATGTAAGTATTGAGATTTTTTACAAAGACATCAGTTCTGACTGCGAGGGTAACTGGTTATGAGTCCTTGCCTACTGAAGAAGGCTGAGGTGAGGCAGGCAGGCAGTCTCCAGTCTCATGATCCAGAAGAATCAGAAAATCCCAGGTAAAAATCCTTCTCCTGCTGCAGCCAGCAGCAGAACTTGCCCTGACTTCAGGTGTTACCATCAGAAAGGTTGCAAATTTATTGTATTGTACGGAGCCCTCATTTACTCCAGTAAATCTTACTCCCCTTCACAAATATTTGCTTTTTTGCCCAATACAGATAATAGTAACACTAATAATGGGAACAGTTGACCTCAAAAAGCAGCTTCTCTCTCTCTCCCCTTCCTCATCCCCACAAAAAAGACTGCTTAGTGATGGTCAGCAGCTGCAAACCTCAGGCAGTCTGAAAACCCGTTCTTTGACTTGAAGAGTGCTGTGAGAGTCTGGATATCCTCCAGTACTTAGTTTTGTTCTTCTAAGTGAAGCTTGAGAGAATTCCAATTATTAATTTTTCTCTGACCTAGTAAGAGCTAAAATGGCCTTCTGATCCCTCTCTGTATATACTTTTGCAATGAAGCTTTGAAGTGGCATCTACTTTGTGCCAAGACACAAACTGCTGTCTTTTCCTTTGCAGCAAAACATTGCAGAGGAGAGAAACCCTTGAGATGATGGCATTTTATGTTTGTTTTTCCTTGATTCTGAAAGCTCTCTAGGCAAAAAGCATACAGCCAGTGCCCAAATAACAGACTTTCTGAGATAGAGCATGGAAAACACATTGCTAAAGGGGAAAATCCCAACCATCATTCCCACATTGGCACAGATATTAACATCTGATATCTAAACATCCCTCCTTTTTAATGCTTGTGGTATTTGCTCCTTTACGAACATCTTCCAGTTGCTCCTAAGACAAAAAGCGCTCCATGGTACATGTCGTGGCAAGGCCATAGCATGAACCTATTTCAAAAAGCCTATTGAAGACCCAGAGAAAGTAGTGAGGGTTCCTTCCAATATCCCACATTCTGTTTTAGAAGAAACCCTTTCTTCAGCTGTATGTGGATTTACCACGCTGAAGCCCTGTTAAGGGTACTAGCAATAGATGAGGATCGTTGTGCTCTTTCCCATGGTCCCAGGCCAGGAAATGGGCTTCCTGCATGTAAGAGGCAGGCACACACACAGCCCCCACTTGGTAATGAAAATACACCTCTGATTGAGTAGCGTGAGGAAGAGGATATCCTGTAGGATTTTTATTTTGAATGGACGTCTTCCCATTTCCTTCTCAAGTCAGATAAGCAAGTTTCTTCTGCCGTGTCACTAAGCAAGCAGCAAGGGGCAGCTTGCCACGTCAATGCCTCTTCCCAGTCTCCATTGGTCCTGGGTCTATTTCCTCAAGAAATACAAGGAATACTATTTTTACTCATCCCTGAAATTACCATCTAAGGCAGGATGAATGCAATTCAGAGTACTTCTCAATTCAAGTTCCAGCCTCACATGAAGCACATACACAAACATAAGTGATCCATGAACAGTTTAAAAGCAATTCAGTATCTTGAGGGACGACAACATCATGAACAAGACCAGCAAATTAAGTAGAATAAGTAGTTGAGGAGGCACTTTTGAAAATGTTGACCTTAATTTCTTTGTGCTTAATTTCCTGCTTTTGTAAAAGAAATATAACACATCCTCTGCCTTGGTATTATAAGAATTGAGGTGTCATGCTTGCAAGACTGGATTCAGGCCCTCGGAAGAAAGACAGTACAACATAAGAAATACAACCTTTAACATGAACTTACCAGATATTAGTTTTTTAAAAAATAATTTTAATATTATACATGCATTATTATTTAATGGCATAACAGTTTAGCACATGCTAATAGATTGTGAAAGTTTAGGGAATCTCTGTATACACAGCTTATGAATGCTCATTACTCTGAAGAACTTGTCGTATATAAAATCACACACCTATCCAGGAGAAGCTGCAGAACACAAGAATCATTAACTAGAAATAACTTTGCTTTAGCAATATGATAAAAGTACTGGGAAAGCTGAAGGAAATGGGAAGCAATGAAGGAGATATCAGACTGAGGGGAATTTTTTTTATTTTTTATTGCAGTAGGAGAAGGAATTGTGGGGGGTTTGTTGCAGGGTATGTGGGAAAATGAAAAAAAAAAAAGATAAAAAGGACAGAAAGAAGGATTTGAAGATCTCAGAAATCTGTTCAAAACTTCAGCTGGCATATGGAGTGACGAAGACACCAGAGAAAATGGCTTATTTTTCCTTTTTGTGTATAAAAAGTTTGTTTTAGAAGTTTCGTTGTTAAACTATAGAGTTCCTTGCTGTAACTGTCAGGGGTTGGTATGGATTTAAAATGTCAAGCAGTGTACCTCTAAGAGCTCAGGGGAGCCTACTGAAAACACTTCAGGAGACTAG